ATCGACAAGAAGTGCAGTTACGTTTCCTATAAAGTCATCAATATTTCAATGTAATATAAAAGGTAAACATCATAGGAAGGATACATACCGTTATTGTTGGGATACTTGACATTTACTTTTTTCTGGTGTGTTTTGCGAATGTGTCGCTTACGAGCAGATTTTGAAGAAAAATATAAATTACACTCTTCAATTCCACAAAGAACACCTGAATGCTGTGTAGGTTGCGATGTACCCGGCTCTGTACTGTCGCTTTCAGTACCGCTGTTGTTGCTAGATTCACTTTCTGAACCACTAGATGTTGAGGAATGTGCTGAACGACTAGGGTTATAGTTACTGCCGCTATCATGTATGTTTGCATCGATAATTTTTTAGTGTAGACGGTGGGTACATGACGATGTTGATGAAGGCAGAGCTGATTGGCGATGAGATGCCTGGGCGGAAAGTGGTGTAGATGAGATGGTAGGAGCTGGACGTCTTTTAAAGACTATGTAGATGTAAAAAATTAGAGATTGTAAAAGAGTAAAATGACTATGGATACATACTTTTGCTTGGAGTACCCAGTTTGCGATTATCTGAAGTGTTTTGAAAGTTTGACGATTGAATTATTTTTAGTAAGTAGAAAATGACAGTGTGAATACTTTTATAAGTTTACCTTGACTGATATCTGAACACTCTAAAATTGCAATTGACGACTTTTGGGTTGATTGCAATACCATGTAAAAAATTATAAGTAATATAATTTTACAAGTGTTTATAATAAATCATGAAATTAATTTTTTTAATTAAAAAAATAATTTCTCAAACACTATAAGATTCTCAACCATTAGGGTTAATCTCAACTATTAGGTTTGGGGAAAAACGGGCTAGGAGGAATGACGATGCCTAGTTCAATAAAAAATCAACGAAGTTAGATTTTTATTAGAACGCTTGACAGAATAATAAGATATCATAAATTTGTTATTTAAAACAAAATTTATAGATATTGTTTATTCTTCTTAATAGAAATGTTATCAGAAAACTATTAATTTATACCAAGAAATAAATAATTTATACCAAGAAATAAATTTCAAACTCAATTACTTTTTTGACAAAAATTGAATTTTTATATTTGAAAAAAGAAATTGTTTCAAAGATTCAATAAAAATGGTTGCATTAAATGAATTCCTCCCAATCAACCATATCCAATTACGTAATAATCTTAACAAAGAATTAGATGTATTTATGGAAAATGAATTGGATTCTTACATTAGTAAAAATATTGTAGAGAAATTAAAAATGAAATTACAAAATAAAATAAAGTCATTGTTTTCAACAGACTACTTTTTATACTTGAGCATGAATAATGATTTTTGCACCCATAAATTTAAAAAAGGAAAACGTGATGGTCAGTTTTGTGGTAGAAAAATCAGAACAAATTTACCTGATGGTAAAAAGGATTACCTTTGCTGTCAACATAGTAAGCTTCATATTCCTAAAAATAAAAAACTTGTTGTTTATAAATCTAATAACACTGAAGATGAGAAAATTGAAAAAAAAGAAAACAAGAAAAAGAAAAAAACTAAACCTATTAAAGTTATTATAGGAAACCCATTTTATTTATGTTTCAATTCAATCATTCCTAAAATACAATCAATATTTATTAATAATATAGTATCAATAATATATTAGAGATTCAATCCATAACAATTAATTTTACTGTAAACAGTAAATTAATTTTAGTTAAGGATTTCATATCAAGCGTTCTAAAAAAATCTAACTTCATTGATTTTTTATTGAACTGGGCGTCGTCGTACCTCCTAGCCTGTTCTAGATTAATCATAATAAACCAATTTAATTCCTAAGAATTAAAAACATTTATAATAATTAAAAAATCTAAGAAGTAAAATTCTTGATTTTTTTAAACTATTATAATATTTTTATATTCTTTTCACCCTAAAGAATTAACTATAATCAATAATATAAGGATAATTAATAATTATCTCTTATATTTAATTGTTATAGATTAATTCCCTTACCCAGAGTATGTAATTTTATAATATACCAAGATTATGCTTATTGATATATTCCTTCAATAAATCCTTTTGATTAAATTTATCAATTGATAACCAACTGTTATCATCAGCACTATATCCAACCCATTTTACTTCAAACAAATATGTACCATTTTCAGTTTTATACCTAATAATCTCTTCTATTTCATATGATACCATTGCTCGTTGTTTCCCTTTATTTTGCTTTCTTTTTTTAGTACGCTCATTAAATCTTGGAACATCATTATCACTATTACTCCGATTTGAATTATTATCAGATTCATTATCAACAATCATTTCTTCATTTGATATAGCAGGTCATTTTGCAATCTGATCATTTTATCCAGTTTATCTTTATTTTGTTTATCATTACTGACCACTATATCAATTAGTTTATGCTCTACTAGAAAATTAAAATCATTACTGTGTCATAGTTTATGGTTTGGTAAAATAGGAATATTAAACATTTCTACAAATTTTGTAATATTTTTTAATAAGCAAGCTACACGAAATTGCAGATTATAGTATTTTATGTTATCCATTTTAACAACTGACTTGTTATTATTGAATCGGCAGAATTTATTCCCAATTTCTGAAAATTGATTCTCAACTTTTGTCCTAAAACTTCCAAATGTCTTAATAAAATGATCCTCAGTAATCGTTAAGGGCTCATTTACATTTTTACATATAGGGTATACAAAATTATCATGGCTATGATTATATCCTTTTTCATTAGCAAGCTCTGTAAATTGCGTGATAAATAAAGTATATCCACCATCAACTGCCATTATGTCATTCTGATGCATATATTTAAATAATTTCATGTTTAAAAACATGCTACCATCTGAGCTATCAGAACAAAAGTCACTTTTAGAAGTATAAATAATCATATCATTCATATCACTAGGGATCCACCCGGTTCGGTTCGGTTCGGTTCTTGAAGGGAACCGAACCAAACCGTCTAAAGCAAGAACTGAACCGACTAGAACTGACAAGAACCGTAGAACCGAAGAATCGAATCGAAGAACCGAACCCATCATGTATATAAAAAAGGCAAGATTCGGTATCTTTAAATGAAAGCTGATGTGTGTGTTCAAATGTCGCGGTATACTTGAATACTGCAGTAAAAAAGAATAGTTTATTATTGTACATTGAACAGCGATCTCAAAATGAATAAGAGAAACAGAATGTAAACATTCTTTTAGATGTGGGTCATTGCATGGTTAAAAGATTAAAGCACAGTTTTTACGAAAAAAAATGGAGCTTATAGTACTTACTTAGAGCGACTTAGTATTACTAGTACATTATGTTATCGTAACATTGGAGGAATTGAACCACAACCGGCAGTACATACAGCTGCTGTGTCTCTACGTGTGTATAGTGTATAGTGTCTCATAAAAGGCAAAGGGTGAATGGGTAAGATAATTCTGTTATGAGCCCCAGAATGCGCAATCTCAAACGGAATGCACAAACTTGATAAAACTGATCGAGAAGCCATGATAAATCTAGTAAAGTAGTACGTCATAGAAAAAAATGCATTGTGGGTAGCAAAGTAGAGGAACAAGTAATGATGTGCGTCATGGGCGGAGAAAGCAAGCTGCTGTCAGAAGAAGTGTTTTTTTATTTTTTTCTCTTCTCTTCTTTACTATTTTTCACTCCCTTCTGCTTTTGCAGGTTTTGTTAAGTTTTTCAATAAAGTATGGCCTACAAATATACTACTTTGTGGTCTTTTCGGAATAACATTGTTCGTAACTTCTGTTATAGCCTATTCTATACTTCTTACCAAAATCGCTAAATGCAATCTTCTGCCTCTCGGTTCTTCGGTTCTATGTATACAGAACCGTTTCGGTTCCAGTTCGGTTCTTGGTAGGAACTGAACCGTATTTTCTCGGTTTCGGTTCAGTTTGGTTCCGGTTCTACGGTTCTGATACGGATCCCTAGGCACAAGTACCAAAAGCACGTCTTGGTAGATTGTCAGAGTTACTATCTTGTCTGGTTGCAAGGTGGAATCTAGGAATTCCTAGATCAGCATCAGTATCTCGGGGCAATAACGATTCAATGCTTGTACTTGCATGGTCGGTTGGCTCCTTGGCAAGGGAAGTTGATGTCACATGTAAGGCGTTAGATGATCTTTCCACATCAGTAATTCTTATAGGAGGGGCTGTACAGTGTATCAAAAATGCTGTCCTTACATATCCATCTGTAGAATCTCCCAGTTCCGTATGACGAGCATTTCTTCTGGGCTGTTCGACAGCATTCTCTTGAAACGGTCCCACAAACGCAAAAAGTTGACTCACAGACAAAGTTTGTAATGAGGAGCTGACCGGTCTGTGCCACGACGTTGTCAGGGAGCACTAATTAAATATTACGCGCACCGACGAAGTTAATATCAGGGACAAGGTATGGGGACGCGCTGGGATAATTGTCGATGGTATTCTCAGCAAACCTGATATTGATGCGCTTAGAACGACCTAGTCAGTAATAGCAGAGACGACCTTGAAGGCGCAACAAGACTTATAGAACACATGCCAAAGATTTGTACCTTTGGCTGCCTGTATGATCAGTTGGGCTGCAAACAAAATCCTGCAACTTCGCTGAGATCGTGCAATAACTTACAAGAGACACGTTGCCCAGGGCGTCTTCTACAAAAATATAGTAAGTATCATACATACTAGTAGAGGCCCGTACGGCGTCCGAATATGGGCGAATTTATTGACAAGACAATTCTGGTAGGATAATTGCATAGTATAGATAAATAGATTCACTGAAAAACCGCATTCGGAGTTTACTGGTATAGAACACCTCTCGAGGACGCCGCAGTCGACTTTTGTCTTCTCTTTACCCTTCTTTTCTTTTTATCCTCGAACACGTCGCTGGCATGACGTCATGTTTTCATGTTCCCACTACTCAGCTAGTTTCACCTCAAGGGGGAAAAAAGACACATATATATGGAATGAGCATAACATCTACATGAATATTGGTAAGTTGAATTGGTCTTTGAATGAGCAGAAGCTGGATTAAAATTAAAATCTTATTTGCACAAATCATCTAGGCGACACTTTCGTAAACCGCCAATTTCATGCCCAGAAACTTAGATTTGCTTGTCCAATCTCAGAATGCAAAAAAATATGTAAAAACATTCAAACGTTCGGCTCTCATCTTGATGGACACGGAACCAGCTACACTGTGCCCAGTCCTGATTCATTTAATTTCATGGAGGAAACGACACTGACAGCAGACATGCCAACGACATCGGCTATGTCATCATTCACACATTTACTTCCCGGACCATCTCCCATGGAATCACCTCCGACAACATTGCACACTGTATTGCCTGTCAATTCAAATTCAACAGAGTCGTCGGCCACACCAAACAGAAACCAGAATTGTCTACAAGGAATTGTGATCAAAGAACCGTTTGCTACTCTCAATTTCGAAAATGTCGATTTGGCGAAGGAATTCTACAAGTTCCAGCTTGAAACCAAAGCTATGGCGTTGCAGGGACTTCTTCCACTTGAATCGCACGTGCAACATATTCTGTCATTACAGGCTGTTCAATACTTTTATTTTTTATTTATTTTATATATTTAGTTGTTAAGTTTTATTTTTAAATGATAAATAATGATCAATATAATTAGGGGTGGTCAGAGAAAATCTTTGATTTTCGATGACGTGGTTAGCTGGTCATTGAGATGGTAGTCAAAACCCTAGAATGATGGTAGTCATTCCAAACATTTGCCTATAAATGCCTCATAAACAGTGTTCATTGTCCTCGATTCTGCTTCTAAAACCTGGACGTACACATACGGATCTACACAAATTCATCAGCAGCGCCACATGGGCGTCCTACTATTAGTTATCTAACCAATTATAATCTACTAGCTGTAATATAGATAATAAAATTGCTATGATCGGTATAACTATCAGTGCCGAATTAATTATTTATTTACAATAAAAATAATAAAAATTGAATTTTTTTATTTATATTGGTAGCCTCCCACGAGAAAAAAAAGAGCGATTGTTTAAAGTATATAACAACAAATAAAAATGAACACAACACAACACATTGAACAACTCAATATTGAAATTAAAAATTTAATTGATAATAAATGGACTTTTCTTGATAAGTCTTGGCCTAAAATGCAACATAGATTTAATCATAGAACAGTTATTGAAGATATGAAGAATAATACAATAAATGATATAAAGGATGTATTACTTAATAGATTTGGATTTATACCTGTATTTTATTTTCTTACAGTTTTATATGGAAATATTGAATATCCAGGGCCATACCGCGAGATTGAAAAAGGACTTGCATTATTATATCATATGGTATTAGGTGTATCAGGAAAGGATATGCATACTGTTATGCCATATGCAACATTTTATGATTTATATAAGCGGTTCTGGATTACTAACTATAATGAATTGAATAAAAAGGTAAAATAAGATCTAGATAGTATGTTCTCATCACCACGTATTCGCATTCTATCAGCAATAATAAACAATCCAGATGGTTTTAAGAATGTTACACTATTTATTGATGGACATGATAGTAAAATAAAGTATTATAAACCAAATGAGTCACATTCACAATTATATCCATATAAATTAAAAGGGCCAGCTGTACATACACAAGTTATACAGGATATGAATGAAATAATTATATATGTATCAGTATCTGAAAAATATGCTATCAGAAATGATGGTACTATGTTTATTAATATGAAACTATTTAAAAAAATAAGTGAGGCAGATTGTTTAGGAATGGATGGTGGATATAATTTATTTATTAAAAAAGTTTAAAGATAATGCGACAGATGCTGGATATAGTTTTTATGATCATAATTTTTAACATCCCATAAGAAAAGAACCAGGACAAAAGTTAACAATCAATGAGACATACTTTAATAATAAGTTTGGATCATTTCGTTCAGCAATAGAAGCACAGTTCTCTATGTTAGGCTCTAAATTTGAACGATTTAATAATAATCGTGCAGCATTGCAAATAACCGATATAAGATATTATAATATTCAGTTTTATGTTGCTTATATTCTTACTAATATATGGCGATTTGTAAATAAGTATAATATAGAGGTACAACCACATCATAAATTATGGTATGGAAAAGATTTTGAATTCCCAAGTAAGAAAACAAACTTAGTATTTTCAAATGAGCAAAAAGTAAATACTGAATATAACGAAATGGTTGATATGCAGCAGAAATTTCTACAGCTTAATATTATTCAATCAATAGATATAGCTATAGATAGTGAGGACGAAAGTGAAATAATACATCTAAACGCAAGAGAAAAAATCAAAGAGAACAGAGAAATATAGAACATAGTAATTCATATGAAATTGAGAAGATTGTAGGACATGTGTATACTGATAATAAGTACATATTTGAGGTTAAGTGGGTTGGATATATGTAAAGGATAATAGTTGGTTAACAGTTGATAAGTTTAATTCCTGGGAAATGCTACATAAATATATGGCCACACATGGTATTCAGCTCTAAATTAATTTCTTACTTATTTGCTTATTAAAAAATCTTAAATTGAAACTGACCGCATCAACCTTTCGTTTACTTGCCCAATTATATTTAGGTTTTATGCATTCATTAGTTATACTTTACTTATATTAGTACCTGTTGATTTATTTTTGACGTCAGTTTCTTTTGTTATATCTATATCATCTATTATAGCCTGTTTTATATCCTTATGCTTTTTAAAATATTCTTTTGGCTGTATTTCTTCTACTATTTGCTTGTTTCTCCATTTATTTTTAATGTGTCTTTTTTTCTTTTTACGTTTTGGTATATTATTTGGTATGTTGCAGTCACTGCTTTTCTCTGATTCAGATGTACTTACATCTATGTATTTATGTTTCTCTATATCTTCTGGTGGGTCTTCCCAATCAATAGTATCATTTACAACATCATCACATTTTATATCATTAAACACATCTTCCCAATGCCTACAATCTGCTGATGGTGGTACCTTTACAGTTGACCATCCTCTATTATTTTATTGAGGTGGTTTATGTTGTTTATTGTTCTGTGTATTATTACTATTATGTTTTTCTTCTTGTTCCTTCATATATTCTTCTGTATCAGCTAATTCTTGTAGTTCCTCTACTGTTTTATCCATCGGTGTATATTTTTTAATATCATCCTAACCACTATTATGTGCATAATAGATAAATGTATGCTGATCTTAGTATTCGTTTTCGAATTCATCTTTGTATACGTCCTCATACATATCCATGTTTTCATAATACATGAATTTATTTTCATAATCCTTCACCTTCATTGTGTATGGATTCCATATTATATGACCTTTACGGTTCTTATCAACATAGATAATATATAAACGATTAAGCGTTGGCTCTAACTCATATACTGATTTATTTTTGTATAACATGTGCGGCATATAGTTACTATTCAGTATTATTGGCATATTTTTCTTTTTAGTTATTGACTTTGTGAATTTGCCATTAAGTTTTAACCATGTTCCTTCTAACATTTGGTTTAAAAATGTTAATTTAAAATCAGAACCTGTTTCTTCATTATACATAAAATCATAATCATCATCCTTATAATCTGACCAATCATTTTCTTTATTCATTAGATATGCTCGATGGCACCTTGTTCTAATACATCAATGTTATATGTCTTACCTACATTTGATGGACCTACAATCCAGTATTGTGGTATCTTATCCACCAAACATTGTTTCAATACAAACATAGACCACATATGTAATTTATTCCCAGGGTTATTTTCCATATCGGTATCATGAAAGTAAGAATTAAATTTGATTTTACAGTATCATATTTAAATAGCAATTCTGGATATATTTCGGTAGCCTTCCGCATATTAAGCTGTTTCATAATTAATTGATATCCAAGTAACTGTTGGTGCATTTTCTGGTCTTAACTTCATAATTTGGATCCATATTATAACAAATATATCTTTTCCTTTATACAGTAGCTAATGGACTTTTGTGGATTACCACCTGGTTTAATGTTTGGAGTAACACCATCGATAGTGAAGAATTTACGTGCTGTTTTTGTGTCGAACCCTCATTCATTTGTATCTATATATAACATGTTTCTCACCGGTTTCTGGTGCAATTTCATCACACGCAATTGCCTTTTCAATTCGATAACCAATACGTTCATGTTTGGTAAACCATTCCATGATTTTTCTTTTGTTAAATGAAAGTCCTTACAAATATATGTGAACAGCCCTTTAGTGTTTTGGAATCGAATTCTTTGCCGCCCTATGAGGAATCTGCACCAGAGGTGTTACTCTCTAACATTGCATCGGAAAATTGAGGATTTGAGGATTTGAGGAATCTCACATATTCTCGAATTCTTCCAATATTTTATTGCATGCATTATCTTTAGTTTTTTATCTACTTTAGCCTGTGTAAGGTCTTTTTCGAGTTCTGACCTCAGTTGTGTAACGAGAGGTTCATACTCAATATGCTATAGTTTTCAGCAAGGTGTTTTGCTCTTTCAATTAAGAGTGTCAATGTAATTCCTAAAATAGGAACAAATTCAGCCATAATAGCTAAGAATGCGAGAAGGTTGAGTTGGCTCATGTCGATTGTTGAAGTAATAAAAATAAAAAATATAACAAATATATTTTGCTTTATATTCTGTGGTATAATTTTTATTTTTTTCAAAAATTTAAATATATACATGCTAAGACATTCATGCATGAATTATTTCAATAAAAATTAATTTGGCTATCCTGATATATCTTAGCTAATAAGTCATCTAGGGTTACTAGATCGTATTAAAATCATCATAACCATGGCCGGTCCACATGCCGTAAATTTCACACCAGCATCCTTGAATCCGTTGGCATCAGTCACCATGAGTTCCCAATGACCGTCAAAGGAGAATTAGAGAAAATCGTCAAGGTACGAACAGCATATGCAAACATGTGGATAATGGAAGTTAACTAACATCTGATTTTTCGGACCGTGTGTAGAACATGGCCAAACAATCGACACGTTTACAAGCGAGCAAAGATATCATGAAGCTTATGAGCGACAATGATATGAATGCAATCAATAAAATACTTCTCTCGGTGCGTAACTTGTAAGTGCCCTACATGGCAGGAAACGAAGATTAGATTTAACGCATTGATTAGGGTCGAAATGTTACCAGATGACTACTTGGAAAGTGGCCCACTTGAAATTGAGCTGATAACTCGGTATCTGCATGCCTCCCTTGTACCTCTCTTTGAAGACTTAAGCAGCAACACGATGTTTCGATGGTATGTATACCCTGTCGACGGTTTACAAAAATGAGATACGGGACACGAGCAAAGATGATGTTCAGGAAATACAGTAGAAAGCGGAGCAGTCTGACATGATTGTAAAATAGGACATCTATTGGCAATGACCAATGGGAATCAACATCCAGACCTAATGCAGCCATAAGCATAATCAATAGTGCATCGTTTGACAAGACAGTACGGGTATATCCGTAGCAATAAAATTTTGATAACCTATAATTTTTATTAAAACTTATAAAGTTTCAAGTATTTCGGAGTTTCAAATCGTATAAA